ACCCCATCGCACAAGCAAGTGGCTATCAGGACTCAGTGGCCGAGTGGATAACGCGATGGCGTTTGAAGCGAGGGTACTGGGTTCGAGTCCCAGAGTGAACATCAACTCTGAGATGCAGGTACATCCAGCTGACGAGTCCCAAATAGGACGAAACGCGCGTCCTGGATTCCACTGCTAGCCACTATCCATCTCTGCTTACAATTAGTCCCTTTGATATATTTCGATAATGCAATGAGAAGACGAAGATTATCAGAATTATGTGATATATTAGCGCAATACATTTCGAACAATCTGATCACACATATACTTGTTAAGACATTTTTTTTATATGAAAATTAAAAGGTCAACTAGACAGGTTAAGGTAAGAAAATAAATAAAGTACACAAAAACAATGTGATGACTACTCTGGATAATAAATAAGCATTACCAGGGTAGGTTAAGGGTAAGAACAAATTGTTTTTGTGTACTTTATTTATTTTCTTACCTTAACCTGTCTAGTTGACCTTTTAATTTTCATATAAAAAATGTCTTAACAAGTATATGTGTGATCAGATTGTTCGAAATGTATTGCGCTAATATATCACATAATTCTGATAATCTTCGTCTTCTCATTGCATTATCGAAATATATCAAAGGGACTAATTGTTTTAAATTCTTGAAAAGAAGACTCCCTACACAAATTATAAAAAGGTTAGATGAACTTGTTAACCTTAAGTGCAAAATTATATCGGAACGAGTGAAACTGGAATTTTATAAATCTTGTTTGTCAAATCACATTTTCCCGAATCATTTATGTAAGAATCTTCGTTCAAGTAAATTACAACCAAATATTCCAAATCTTATTCGACTGACAAAATCCTTCATAGACAAATGCCATGATAAGTTGATTAATTTAATTGAACTGCATACTCAAGCATTACTTGTGTTAGCAGAATTGTCTATAGTTTGCCATATCAAATTCATCAATTTTTGTAGTACTGTCACTTTGAAAACGAAAGAAGGGATCAGGAAAAAGCTGGAAAAATCTTTCTGTAACAATAATAATAATCTCACTTCCTTCCCAAATAATCCTGATAAATATGTCACAAATTTATCCTCTATTGTATTGTCCGTTCATGAAAAGGAGGCACTTTCTCTGGGTTTCAACTTTTCTGTCCCTATTACACAAATTTCTGAATTGACAATCAACGCCCAATTTGAAAACCTTTATGATCAATTGAGTACTTTAACCCCCTCATCCTCAGAGAATCAAAGTTGGTTTAAAGCTAAATTAGTGGACATAGCTCATCAATTTCACTCCTCTGGACCGAAGCAGAGAAGCATACTAACTTCTCAGCACTTCAAATCCTTAAAAGAATTGCGAAACAATGCCGATATTATAAATAAATTATATATTTGTAATATCCCAATGAGTAGAAAAATTAGATTTTCTGACGTTTCGTGACTCAGTGTAAGCCACTTCTTCAGAGAATAAATAACCAAATTAATATTAATCCAAGTTTAAATAGTACAACGGAACAATCAAAGAATATTAGGTGATCAATCAAAAACCGGTCTGAATAAATCAATGTCACGTCATTTCATTTCGTTCAAAGTGATTCATAAGGGATATGTATGTAATTTTGTGTGTATGTATGCATTGTTAATGACGAAAAATGCCGATATTATTATACTTAAACCCGATAAAGGATCTGGTGTGGTAATTATGAATAAGTCCGATTACATAGATAAAATGGAATTGATTCTCAGTGATAAGAGCAAATTCATGGCTGATGTTGACTCTGATGGACTACATAAATTAGAAAAGAAAGTAAACTCGAATCTAACAAAATTGTTAAACATGAACGCTATTGACAAAGATGAGTTTCATTTATTAAAACCTATGGGTTCGGTGTATCCTCATTTATATGGATTGCCAAAAATACATAAGCCTAATATCCCTTTACGTCCAATTCTATCAATGTGTCGGTCACCTACACACAAACTAGCGAAATGGCTTACAAAAATATTAAATCCTATCCGACATCAATTTTGTAAGTATTCCTTGATTGACTCATTTGATTTAATTAAATACTTAAAGGATATGAATATAAAAACAAAGACAATGTGTTCTTTTGATGTGAATACTTTATTTACAAATGTACCCCTGAGAAAAACTATTGATATTTTATGTGACTATATTTCACTTAATAATCTTCCATTGCCATTTCCTGTTGAAACTCTTAAAGATTTATTATTATTGTGCACTGACAATGTAAAATTCACATTTCAAGGTGAGCACTTTCGACAAATTGATGGCGTAGCTATGGGTAGTCCTTTAGGACCGTTGCTGGCGGATGTGTTCATGGGGTATGTTGAAAATTTAGCTGAAAACTCAATCCAAAAGATGTGTCTGTATAGACGATACGTTGATGATATCATAATCATAGGGGATAAATGTGAAGACTTGAACCACTTGTTAAAAGAACTCAATGCAAGTCAGAAGCATATTTCTCTTACGTGCGAGGAAGAGAAGAACAACCAACTTCCTTTTCTAGATATACTGATCAGTAGAAGAGAAGATGGTTCCATCCAACGTTCTATTTATAGAAAGCAGACATGGACGGGGCAATACCTTAATTTCCATAGTCACTGCCCAATTCATTACAAACGTGGGTTAATTAAGGGCTTATTCAATAGAATCAATCGTATTTGTACTAGTGATACTATTGAAATAGAAACGAAGCGTCTAACTAATACGTTAATGAATAACGGTTATTCATTTAAGTTCATAAACCGCTGGAAGGGTTGCAATACGATTAGACCTATTACGCTTCTGGCACCCAAAAAGCGAGTTTATATTACATTACCATTTAGAAGTGACTCTAATAGTCTCATGTTAAGACGGAGACTAAAATTAGCCATAAATAGGACATTCTATGCAGCTCAACTTGTCATCATTGAAAAGACAAGGTCGATATTTCACCAAAAACCTAGACAGCATATAAGCGATTGTGTCACATCCCATTGTGTATACCAATTTACATGTATGTGCGGAAACACGTACATAGGGAGGAGCAATCGTGATTTGCAAATAAGGGTGGTGGAACACATACCTAAATGGCTACAGAACCAAATGAATTCGAATAGTCAAATAAGATCACAGGACAGACAAACATCTTCCTCTATTGCGAAACATTTAGTTGAAACTGGTCATAAGGTTGACATCAAATCAGCATTTGTAGTGTTGTACAAAAGCCTTCAAGGACGTATACTAAGGTTTATTGAAGCCTTGGCTATACGGAAATTGAAACCCCCTTTATGTGTTCAAAAACAATTTGTTCTTACCCTTAACCTACCCTGGTAATGCTTATTTATTATCCAGAGTAGTCATCACTTTGTTTTTGTGTACTTTATTTATTTTCTTACCTTAACCTGTCTAGTTGACCATTTAATTTTCATATAAAAAAAATGTCTTAACAAGTATATGTGTGATCAGATTGTTCGAAATGTATTGCGCTAATATATCACATAATTCTGATAATCTTCGTCTTCTCATTGCATTATCGAAATTTATCAAAGGGACTAATTGTTTTAAACCAGTTATAATGCCAAAATGCTATTTGGCCAAATAAGTTAATGAATTTCATGCCAAAATCCAAACCTCTTGTCTTAAGTCTGATTGGATCGCTCATAAATTATAGTGTGGCCCCTTTCGTTTGTTCATATGTTGACTCAGATCAATTCTGAAGCGAAATTTCGTATTTACAGGGAGATTAACAAATTGCAAACACTACTAGTTTATTGCTCAATGAGATCGAAAGATTGCATTTCGTTGATGCCTTCACCGAATAGGAATATATTACTTCAGGATTCTAAATCACTAAGTACATCTTGCTGTAGGAGATCAACCTATGAAAAGTTATATAGAAAGAATGACAAAATTAGATAAGATGTGGGACGTTGAATATCTCTTAAGAACACCACTTGAAGTTGACGATTCTGATTACAGTTCACTTGAAGCTCTGACTCAATCAGCAGTATTCAAGTAGAGAGCTTTCACAAGGTTATCTTTTATCAACCGGTTTGATGAGTAATTGATAGCTGTCACGTGTAATCACATCTGGTTTCCTGACTGTGGCTAATATTTCAGACAATCTAACTATTAAAACTGGATTACCATCTTTAAATGCCTCTGGAGTTAACCTGTCACGTCCTCTTGACCTCTATGGTCTTACATCAGCTATCATCATTTCATTAACACTAAGATTTGGGGGGATTTGTGTCGATTTTTTATTCAGGTTGCCGTAAGTAGTGGGCAGCAGAAGCGTAGCTAGGGGCCAGTTAAACTTTCATAAGGTGTTATGACTTTGCAGTTTCTCTGAATGAGAGTGAGTTATCGTTCTGACTTTCCCTGAGATAGTTTCACTAATAGCTGTTTTTCTTTAGTGTGTTTCCTTAATGAGTTGGAATATTTTTCCAAATTATAACCGCTACCTTTTCCACCTTTTTAGCCTCTGTTGGTGCAACTGCTTGCGATCATTGGGGAAACGTTTTTTAGCTAATGTTTGAGTTTCTATCGTTCTTTATCGTTATCCGAACCTGTTGGAATTAGTTTCCAAACATCTGCCAATTTCGTAAATGACACCGAAACGTACTAGTCTTTCCTATCCTATTAGTTTAAGTTGTCGGAGGATGTCACCGCTTTATAGGGGTTTTTTGATATCATTTCAAGCTTCTTGAGGATGAACTGTTTATTTGAGGTCGAATAGATGCCTAGACGTGTCTTTCTTCAATGAATCTTCAATCTTTGAACCTTCAACTTGATGTCTGAAGGACAGTCTTGCTGTAATTTTCCAATGTCCAGTAAAGCGCATAAAAATATGTACTCTCACCATGGCCTGTACTCCAGTTAAAGCAATAGTTTTCAATAGAGCCTCTCCGATGATGGTTGATAGCGATATTATCTTTTTGTGTCATTTGAGTGTTAACAGTTATCAAAAGTATATTTGGGTCAGCACATGAATAAACAACTGTTTATTTTTTGGTTAGTCATTAAACATATTGTGAATAGTCCTTGCAGTGCTTCAATAAAGAAACCTTGAGCATATATATGCATATGAATGTATACTAGGCTGTGAGATCTCAGATCCAAAGAAGAGTTGATTTAATTCATGTAAAAATAATGTTTCATTTGTAGATAAAAAATTTTTCTTTATGTCTGAAGAGGGCATTGTAAGCCATGCTACAATTTATAATATATTGATAACATGTTACGTTAATTGCTTTCATGGATAAATATGCTTAGGTAACAAGTGCGAAACTTGTGAAATAATTTCCCTTAAACATTTAAGAGCTTCCTAAGAATAAAATATTAGATTATGCTTAAAAAAGAGCAGTTGACTACACAATCTGAGATTTGGGTTTCATGTGGGAAAATTTGTCTGGATCCCTGCGCAAGCTATCATTCATTTAATGGGCTATATCAGAGTTGTAGAAATATCAACAATGTGAAAATCGCGTCTCTGATGATAACCTATATAAGATTTAGTTTCTTTCTCCATATGAAGAATAAACTGGCTTGTACTTTGATTTTAGATGGTGTCGCGATGGGTTTACCCCTAGGTCCCATATTGGCTGATATTTCTCTCGCGAAACTAGAAAACGGCCCACTGACACAACAGATTGAAAGGTTTTCACTTTATTGCCGATATATGGACGACACGTTCATCCTATGTAACGACTATACTGATTTAATGGAGACACTGCAGCTATTCAATACAGCTCATCCGTCTATAAAATTCACATGTGAGGAGGAAAATGGAGGTAGGATCGCTTTTCTAGATGTTCTCCTTACAAGGAGGAAAGACGGTTCTTTAAGGAGAAATATAAACAGGAAAACATCGTGGACGGGTCAGTATACTAAATTTCTTAGTTTTGTTCCTCTACAGTACAAAAGGAACCTAATTAAACCTAATCAAGAACATATGCTCTGAAGATACAGTCGAGGAAGAAACAAAAGCATTGTACATGACCCTGAAAGAAAATGGATACCCAGAGAAATTTATAAATAAAAACATAACTAGTAAAAGGGATCATAAAGAATGTTTAATTGTGAATAAAAAGCCTCTGTATATACGTCTACAATTCAGAGGTGACGCACCTAGTGAAATGTTAAGATTGAAACTACGAAGAAAAATCGAAAGGACTTTTAATGAAGGTAAACTACAACGAATGTTTTCCACATGTCCAATGATCACGCCGACTTTGAAAGATAAATTGCCTAGACTAGCCACTTATTTCTGTATCTATCAATTCAACTGCTCCTGTGAGGCAAGTTATATTGTAGTGCCGTGCTTCGATCATAGTTCGCTTCGATAACCGTTATTAATACCAATCTTAACGGTGTATAATATCAGAAGGCAAAGGGAAGCGGCAACTACATTTTTATTGATAATCGATGCAGACCAGAAAGTTGTAAGCACATGAGCAACTGTAAGCAAGCGAAGCAAAGATGATGCGTATTGGAGATGGCTGGGAAGCCAACTCATTTTAAGCAAGCGTTAACTAACATTTATAGGCAGGCAAAAATGAGTGACAGACATATGATGAATAAGATACGAAGTGTACACATATGCGCTCATATAAAAAGTACTCAAGGTTAATAAGCAAATGATTAACAAGATCAAAAGATGACTCAATGTACAGGTGAATTGGCTTGGCCAGTAACTAGAATAAAGTATATGGGCCTAACATATGAATTGGTACTACAATATAGGCAAATGTTCTGGGAATTTGTATACTCGGGCTCGTGAACACCTTCCAGTGTGGTTAAGCAAAGGTGTAGTCAGAACGGTTAACAGCTCTGTCTTAGCCCATTTAGTTCCGACGGGACATAGAGCCGACATCGAGCAATCTTTCACAGTAATATATCGTGTTAATAGCAGTCTACCTAATTCTGTCAGACGGAGAATCCTGCAGACGGCTGAGGCAATTGCTATTCGGATCAAAAAGCCAGAGCTCTGCATCCAAAAGAAATATGTCCAGCTGCTCCTTTTACCCTGGCCAACTTCAGGGTCAACTTGTTAATAATCAATTTTGTAATATGGTGGCATTAATTTGATCAATGTTCATTTTTATTTCTTAAACTTAGTTTATCTACACATCTTATCAGTCATTCATCATCATCATCATCATCATCATCATCATCATCATCATCATCATCATCATCATCATCATCATCATCATCATCATCATCATCATCATCATCATCATCATCATCATCATCATCATCATCATCATCATCATCATCATCATCATCATCATCATCATCATCATCATCATCATCATCATCATCATCATCATCATCATCATCATCATCATCATCATCATCATCATCATCATCATCATCATCATCATCATCATCATCATCATCATCATCATCATCATCATCATCATCATCATCATCATCATCATCATCATCATCATCATCATCATCATCATCATCATCATCATCATCATCATCATCATCATCATCATCATCATCATCATCATCATCATCATCATCATCATCATCATCATCATCATCATCATCATCATCATCATCATCATCATCATCATCATCATCTTCTTCTTCTTCTTCTTATTATTATTATTATTATTATTATTATTATTATTATCACACCTGCTAACCTTTTAGAGAAATTTATTTATCATCCACCCCCAATCTACCACAACTCCGCCTGTAGCTCCTCTGGGGGTTACTGCCGGTCCCAAGCCCGGGTAAAGGAGGAGGGTTGGTCATGGGGTTAGCGACCCATCCCGTAGAAAATCAACTCGCTAAAAAAACGTTAACCAGAAAAAATCATTCAAACCATTCAAACTCTGCCCTGGGAGTAGAAGGAATAATTATGACGTCTCATGATGAAAGCCGAGTTCATTCGGAAGTCATGAGGCCGACGCACCTTCTTACAACCAGAGCGACAATTTTTATAGGTACATGGAATGTCCTAACAATGCGGGAGACCGGAAGAGTTTTTCAAATTGCTGCAGAAATGAGAAAATACAACCTGGAGGTGATTGGAATCAGCGAAACACATTGGACGCAGGTTGGACAACAACGACTGTCTTCAGGAGAACTTCTGTCATACTTCGGTCATGAAGAAGAAAATGCCCCACATACACAAGGAGTTGCATTGACGCTGTCCAGAAAAGCACAAAATGCACTTATTGGATGGGAATCTCATGGACCAAGGATCATCAAAGCCTCCTTCAAAACAAAGGGAGAGGGCATTACAATGAACGTCATCCAATGCTATGCGCCTATGCGCCCAATCTACCACATATGACCTAATTTATATTATTCTATATATTACGTAATTTCTGATTTGTAATCCCATTTTTCTATTTCTCACCCCCATGTCAACTATATATATTCTGATAATTTATCTTACGATTTTATTTCACCTATAAACCGAATCAAGTTAACACTACATGTTAGTCATCCCAACATTAACGATTCGATCTTAATTTTATTTTATATGACAAACAATCCTTGATTCACATATTACAGTTTCTTAAATGATGTACTCTGCCTTAAACTTGGCCAATCTTCTTTTATGGACTATTAATTTATAATTGTAGAACCTGATGAGAAATTATTGAAAAGAATATTCTTCGTTCATATAATTGTGTTTTAATATGATGGGAATATTTCAGCTATTAATATGTATCCACTGCCGAAGTAAAAAGTGATCGTTACACATGGTTTCATATACTAAAGATTTCTAAGCTTCAGTCATTTGTTCAATTAATTTCTCTTACTTGCATTGTTCCAAAATACTTACTTACTTACTCCTGTTACCCCTCGTGGAGGAGCATAGGCCGCACTCCAGCACTTTTCATCCAATCCCGTCCTGGGCAATTCTTTTCAGTTCTTTCCGGTTGTTATTCATCCTTTTCATATTGTAGTTCTTCATGTCTCAGCTCGGTACAGTAGGACTGTCTCGACGTTCTTATTGAAAATTGAGACTTTGTTATCGGTTGACAGTTGTTTTGAGTTCCATATGTTCTTCAGTTGTAGAAATGTTGTCATTGCTTTGCCAATCCTCGCCTATACATTTGTATCAGATCCCCCTTCCTCATCGATGATTCTTCCTAGGTAGTTGAATTATTCCGCATCTTCCGCCTGTAACTCTTTTGGAATTACTGCCGGTTACAAACCCGGCTAAAGGAGGAGGGTTGGGCATGGGGTTAGCAACCTGATCCATTAGAAAATTAACTCGCTAAAAAGACGCTTACCAGAAGAAATTGTTCAAGCATCATAACAGTAAAACCCACCAATCGTATCGACTCTTAAGTATGCAGCGTAAATTCGTAGGTTGAATTTAATTTATTTTGTGGGTACTATTGAAGACGTCGATTTTCAAACGTTTAGCTGTACAAATTTCTTTTATTGTCTTATTGATTAAAATTGTAATTAACGGATACCTAATTATCTAAATTTTAATCGGACTCAAATAATTTGTTGACCTATTTTGTAAATTTCATTGAAATTCCATGTCATTATACTATGCATTACTAATAAACCTGTTCTCATTGTTTATTTTTCTTTAATATTGAAGATTTGTTTATTGTCCTAAAATATAATTGGTCTTAGTATGTACAAATAATCAAAAGGATTTTTGTTTATAACCGTTTTCTATTGATTATGAATAAATAAGATATGGGAAAGATTTAGTTTATGATTAGATATTTTGATATAATTGATCAAAAACAAGCATTTACAATGGATGCCTTCTATTTAAGCTAATAGAAGTCTTGAAAATGTCTAAATATATTTCATTTCGTTGAATATAGCTTGGTTCGTAAAGAAGATGACTTTGTGAAAGAGACGAAAAACTTGATAATTTACTGTTGTTTGAACAAGAAAATATGGTATAGAAGACAGTATCGATTTCGTAGACCATAATTCCAAGATGAATATATATCAGTTTTTGTTCAGTTGCATTAGGATAAAATATCTGTTTCTTAATAAAACGTTATGGAGAACATTGTTTCATATATTTCTTTGTGTTTACTTAGTAACTTAAATTAAAATAACTTTTAACATCATAGTACGTATCATACTGTACTTAATAGTATCGAATGGATCAAGTGTAACACATGAGATTCTCCTCTTAAGGAAGTTTTGAATTCGTATTTGAAAAATACGTCAAGTACAGTATCTAATACTACCAGTATCAGATGCGTACATTTACCTAAGTAATTAACCTTCATGATCACACTTATGAAAAAATGGTTTTAAGTTTTTATGCTGACTACTTTTAAGAAGGTGAATTTAAACATATTCATTCATAAAAACCGAAAAAGTATATTCTTCCAGCTACTTTAAAAACAACTGACTTATTTCATAGCTGAAATAAAAAAGATAGTAACTGAAGTCGACTTAAAAGCAGAGCGAAATATTAAGGTTTGAACCCTCTAATAGATGACATTTTTATATTGTTGATATTAAGGACAGTCACTGATCCTTCTTTATTGATAAACGTCCATTCACAATATTCTTATTTGCTTCTAAATGCAGTCGATTTGTGGTTTTTGGTGAAATCCTGAACACACATTTTGTTCTATTTTGGACTAATCAACTGGATGTGTTTTTTTAACATTCTATTCATTATTATATGTGAATCTCGTTCCTTAAGCTTTTTGAATGCTTATCTCAATACTCAGAGATTAATATTCTAAAATAAAGTCATGCAGTCTGGGAATTTATCAATATAGATTTGTTTACTATATGTCCTCATATACATTTCTTTAAAAGTTTTTACGCATATTGAATTATGAGTAGTAAATAACACTTTGACATTTTATTGAAATATTAGTTAACATTTTTTCAAGTATTTGATTCAAGGCTTATGATAAATTTAAAATCCCTATTGGTTACCGAAAAACATAGAATGGTAAAATGTATATCCTTCCTATTTGACAATTTTTCAGTACAGCTCATTTGAAATCCCAATGATTTCCAGCGACCATATTGCCCCAGAAATAACTAGGATTGTTATTTATAGTAACTTGACTGAATAACATAAAATTGTGATACAAGTCTTCTCTAGATTCACCAATAGTGCATTATATGTTAATTTTACAAAATATACACCAATCTTTATTAACGACCAGTTTTGAGAGCATTTATTCAAGTTTTATGAAGGGGATTCATAGTGGTTATTTTTCAACAATGAAAGTACTGACAAAATAAAAGAATACTTTCTGATAAGTCTTGCTGATTGGACGCTATACTCGGATCGTAGTGTCGTAATCCCCAAGCTAAATCTACACAGCGACTTGAACACGAGAGAAAAGGTGCAAAATATACGAGAAGCACTTTACTCTAAAGGTTCATTCATGTACAGAAAATATAGGGTTTTTATATGGTATTTTAGAATTCCTTAGGTTTTCTTAAAAATTCTAGAATGCTACTAAACATAGTAGCAGTGTAGTAATCAGCCGATCAAAACCTCTACATGTGACTTTTCAATTACGTGATGTTTCTAGCAAAACTTCTAATCAAACGCTGATTGGATAAAATACTTCTTAATGTTTCCTGAGCTTGTCATGCCTATGCGCGAGAAACTTTCTGGATCATCTCAACACTTTCAGAAATAAAATTCTTTAAAATTTTATTTAAAAATCATAAAAACTCATGTAGCCCATAGTTTCAAAGGTTGCCTATACGTTGTTTTGTCGATACGTTTTATCTACTGTCAAATCATTAAAAAATTTGATCCTCGATCATTATATTATTGAATAAGTAAACTATATTGAGCAAAAATGAATATGTTACACATTCCTATCAAGCTATACGAACTTCATGTTCACATAAGTTTCAAATAAATCTTATATTTTCTTAATGGTATTTTACCTTGACAACAAAGAAGTTGAAAGCAGGGATGGAGTCCCGAAGAGAATTACGAATGGTAACTTTTGAGGACTGTTTATTGGTCAATATAATATGTATATTTCCTTTTGTAATTAACCTAATCATATTCGTTTCCTCTTATCACTAACTTTATTTTGACCTTTGAACTATTATTATACGATCCTTGAGTTATCATCAGTTTATTGATTACTATTCACAGCCACATTCGGCTAAATAATGTACAAATGTTATTATCTATTTTATGGGTCGATATGGTCTGTTTGTTTGGTATATAAACTCAGTATATAAACTCAGAGTGAACATCAACTCTGAGATGCAGGTACATCCAGCTGACGAGTCCCAAATAGGACGAAACGCGCGTCCTGGATTCCACTGCTAGCCACTATCCATCTCTGCTTACTAAACTCAGTATGTTTGAAATACAATGAGTCATACCACTGAGGCTGTTGTTGGTGTTTTGGACTTAACTGGTTGGGCTAGGCAGATCGCGGGACCGGTTAGCACTCTAGTCTGCTCGTACGGTTTCGTGTGTCCCTGTTCCAATCGACAATTCACTGCTCCCTAATTGGCCGTTCTATCGAGTCATACATCAACTAGGCATCCACTCGGCCACAAGATATAACAGATATCCACTCGGATAACGCGATGGCGTTTGAAGTGAGGGTACTGGGTTTGAGTCCCAGAGTGAACATCAACTCTGAGATGCAGGTACATCCAGCTGACGAGTCCCAAATAGGACGAAACGCGCGT